CACAGCGAGCACCGAGACCTGGTGACGCGAATCTGCAGCCAGCCGGACCCCGGCGAGCGAAGCGACGCCTGTCTCCCAGCTTGGGCCCCGAGTCCCTGCAGCAGGACCCATGGCCGGAAGAGTCTGCTCCTGCTCGCTCTTTTGAGGAGTGCCCCAACCAAGTCTGCTCCCCCCGGTGCAAACGGAAAAGGACAGGGAAAAGGGCCGGGCCAGCCTGCACCGGGCCTCCTGGAGCCACAGCACCGCCAGGTGGTCCTCAGCACTGCAGCCAAAGCCTGGACTACGTCGGCCAAGCAGCCGGTGCAGCTGGACCCAAGCTGGACTCCAGCTCTGTGCCGCATCCCTGTCGTCTCCACTGGCCTGGTCACCCCCGCCTAGCTTCTCTCCTCCCTCTCCCCCTCCCATCGTTCCGCTCGCGCCGTCTCGCCCTCTATGCCAACCCGGTGGTGCGGTTGCCTCCAGTGGACCCGCCTGAAATCCTGGCTTGGAGCCAGGGACCCAGACCGGCTCACGCCCACTCCGCTCCCTCCCCCTCAGCCCCGCGTTTCTGAGATGCAATCGCCTACCCTGCCCCCGCCGCTTCCTCCTCGTTGGGCTCAGGCCCAGCTCCTGCCAATGCTGCACCCTCCGCTGTTTGTGCCCAGCGAGGTCCGGTCCCAGCGCCGCCACTGCCGCCCATTCTGGAAGGTCGCTCAGGCCCAGCCGCTGCCAATGCTGCACCCACCGCTGTTTCTGACCAGCAAAGTTTGGTCCCAGCTCTCGCCACCGCCGAGTGCCACCGAACATTCCTGAGCACCTGCGCTGCATGTTCCTGAGCGCCTCTGCCACCTCCGAATGGTCCCGATCGTCACCAACTGCGGACGCCACTTCGGCCGTTGAATATTCCACAGCGTCAAGCGTCAATGCCCCCCGGGACGCCATAGACGATGGATGATGCCAGAAGCGGAGGTGGAATACAGCAAGTTCCGACAGTGCTGCTGAGGTCGGCCAACGCTCCCGCTGCTGCCAAACAACATGCGAGAAGCCGGGAGAGAGCGCAGCAAAGAGCCCAGCCTGCCACCTTGCTGTCCCTGTGGCTTCTGGGGTAAGTGTCGGGCCACGCGGGAGCTCAGGAGCGGCCACGGGCCTGGGCCTCGAGGACCCCTCCATCCTTCCCCTGGGGAAGCTGGGCCTTTGAACCCAGGACAGGGCTTCTGGGCAGAGGCATGAATGGGGCTTGCGGCCGGGCCTCTGGGCAGTGGCCTGACTGGGATTTGTGGGGTGGGGAGGCCCTACCTGGGCCTGTACTGCCCACCCCCCTCCTGGGAGGGGGGACTCGGTGGCCTAGGGCCGACTTGGGGTGACAGGGAGATGGAGGGATGAGGCGGGGGCCCTGGCACCTCCCGGGTGGGGGGGCCTGGGCTGTGCCTCCTTCCCTAGGCCGGGTGGAGGTTACCCCTCCACACTTGGTACGAGTTGATGCCTAGCGATCAGGAGGGTATTTTCTCTGACTTCTTCACACACACACCCCTCCCCCGCCAAGCCCTCCGCTCTCGCCCCCTCTCCCCCTCTAGCCAACCCAGTGGTGCAGCCGCCTCCAGGAGACCGGCCTGAAATCCTGGCTCGGAGCCACGGACCCAAACCGGCTCAGCCCACTCTGCTCCCTCCTCCTCCCCCTCGCCCAGGCCAGCGTTTCCACTACCAACCGTTTATGCTGCTGCTGCTGCCGCTGCTGCACATTCCCGAGGGACCCTGCTACCGCCGCCGCATGTTCCGGAGGGCGGCCCGCTGTTGCCCCATGTTCAGGAGGGCCGCTGCCGCTGCACGGTCCAGAGGGCCACCGACATCACCGCACCCGCACCGTCTGGAGGGCCACCGCCACCGCCGCACTTTCCGGAGGGCTGCTGTCGCCACCGCCGCCACCGCTGCCGCAAGTTCCTGAGGGCGGCAGCCGCAGCCGCCCCACATTCCGGAGGGTGGCCGCCCCCGCATATCCGGGAGGGCCGTTGCCGCCGCCTCCACCGCCGCAAGTTCCGGAGGGCCGTCGCCGCCATCGCTGCCACCGCCGCACGGTCCAGAGGGCCACCGCCACCGCCGCACTTTCTGGAGGGCTGCTGTCGCCCTGCCGCCACCGCTGCTGCAAGTTCCTGAGGATCGCCCCCGCCGCCCCACGTTCCGGAGGGCTGCCGATGCAGCTGCCCGATTCCGAGTGCAGCCGGTACAGCGCCACCACACGTTTCGGAGGACAGCCGCCACCATCGCACATTCCGGACAGTTCGGGAAGTGCAGCTGAGGTCGGCCAACGCTCTCGCTGCTGCCAAACAACATGCCAGACGCCAGGAGAGAGCAGCAAAGAGCCCAGCTTGCTGCCTTGCTGTCCCTGTGGCTTCTGAGGTAAGTGTCGGGCCAGGTTGGGGCGGGAGCTCAGGCGTGGCCGGGGGCCTGGACCTCGAGGACTCCTCTATCCATCCCTGGGGAAGCTGGGCCTCTGAACCCAGGACAGGGCTTCTGGGCAGCGGTCTGACTGGGGTTTGTGGGGTGGGGAGCCCCTACC